CCCTCCCCCTTTCCTCTCTCTGGCCCGGGTCTATGCGGCCCCCCAGAGACCATGGGATCCAGGATCAAGTGAGTGCCCCCCGGAGCTCTCCAGCCCCGCTCGCAGGCCCTCAGGAAAGCGGGAGGGCTCTGGAGAGCGAGAAGGGGACTTCCCCGCCCTCCGTCCAGCTCTGTGTGAGGCCGCGCGGGCGAGACCCCGGCCCAGCCTGCAGGCCTCGGGGTAGGGCGAGGAAGAGGGGGAGAAAGAAAGGGGGAAAGTACTTCCCACCCCGCCAGGCCGGCTGGCAGGCCGGGGAGGGAAGAAGCGGCGGGGGAGAGGGGCCCACTCTCCCACTGCCCGGGCGGGGAGTCCGCCCGCCCTGGGGAGGGGAGTGTCGCTTCCCGCCCTCAGACCCACACTGGGCTGTTGTCGCTCTCGTTCTCCCTATCTTCACCTTTCCGTGTGGTAGCGCATAAAGCCAGGCTGTGAGGGCAGATTGAGTGTTATCGGTGCAGGCCTTAAGGAGGATTGGGGCTGCTGGAGTGGGAAAGTCTTCGTGGCCAGCACTGGTGACCTCTGCTTTGGGGTGTGGTGGGTTGAGAGAGTTCAAAGTCTCCTTGCGTAGAGTGTGCCAAAGGGAAGATGGATAGCCTAGCCATGATATCGTGAAAGTGCATTAGCAAGGGTACTTCGGGGGAGAAGAGTGGTGCAAGAAATTAATGTGTTGGGTCTGCAGATGTGTGCCCTCAATATTTTTATAGTTCTCATAAAGCTGGGGGCTGATTTATTGGTAAGCCCCGTTGGTGTGTTTGGTATTGTGACGTTAAAGGTTTCAGTTCGTTCACATGCCATTCCTGGCGAATTCAGTTCCTCTGAGACAGGTAGAGGTGTAATAAAGCTATCACCAAGCAGGGAGTGTTGACATCTTTGTGCATGAAAGGTGTGATAGAGTGGAGAGATCCAGTTAGATTGTATTTTATTCAGCAGTTTCAGTAGGTGCTGTTGAGCAATTGCTTTTCTTTCTCAAACACAGTGTTCAAGATTACACAGGGCTTTAACTTTTCACCTCTTGTTTAACTTGAATATGAGACTGGAGGAGACATAGTTTGTAGCGGCTTTAGTGTGATGACACATCTCCATGTTCGCAAGCCCACAGGCTGAATAGACATAAGCTTGTGTCTATCCAGCCAGATGTTTTAGGAAAATGTAAGTGGATAATGAGTACTTGTAGTGATAGCACTGAGGTGATTGGTTGGTTCTCGAAAGCAACCTTCCTTCTTCAGGAGACACTGTGGGGATCATTTTTGCATTTTTCTGGTGTATGGGTTCTCAACTGTTGCTACAGTAAATGAAAGAGAAGCTAGTTAAACTCTGATTTTATGTTGAACTACAGGTAGAATCTAAAATGCATTACTGTTTTGACAGCAGAGCAGGTAGTGTCTTGCACTTTCAGATTGTGGTAGTGGTCATGCTTGCTTGGGTCACTTCAAGATTATGATCTGAACTGACTTATGATGATCTTATCTTCAAGCTGTTAAAAGGCTGATGTTAACTTAAAATGTAGCTTCTTTTGTGTACTTGCGGAATCCGCAAGCTATGCTTGCCATCTTTGGGGTTTTGGTTGCTGATTTGACCTCTAGTGGCTTTGTGTACACTTTGCTGAATGTGAATGTAATCACTCAGGTGAGACACTTCAACTGGAAACCTCACAGTGGGTGTCAGTGAGGAGATGTAGCAGTTAGAAGTATTTGTTACAGCCAGTGGACTTTAGGACTTTAGCTATGCAGTCTTTCAGTGTGAATGTCTTTCTCTGTCACCAGGAAAACACAGCTGATAACCCCATATAAGCATAACTTTTTATTCCTTAGGACTTTGTGAGGAAGCATTTTGTCCAATATGTGATTAAGCAACTTCATCTCGAGCAACAATTAATAACTTGCCTTTTTGCACTTTGGGCAAAACATTGTGCCCAGGTAGAGTAAGGACAGTATTTCCAAACAGTCTTGAAATGTATAAAGAATGAGTGAGCCTATCTGAGTAAGAGGCTTTTCTGATCTGCTCTTCTGAGCTGGATGTTTAATCCAGCAAAGATTTTCAAGTTGATAAGTAGCTCCCTTATTGGGGTAGGGGGGAACATGAATAAGAGCGCTGTTTTATAATTGGGTATGCTGAGGTATGCCCCTTTTAATGGTGTTGCCAGTATGTGTTGCAGCCCTAGCAAAAATCCAGTAGTCAGATCTGTTGCTTCTGCTGTTGATTGATAATTATGAGGGATATTAAACCCCTTGGCACATGATCACACTGTCTGCATGAAACCCGCACATATGTGTCAGATTTTTGATGGATGTGTAGTAGTGAGTCATTTGAGTGAAAGATCGCTTAGAGAAAATTATCAGTAGCTGCATCAGACTGAAGTGAAAGAAATCAAGAGATTGCCAGCAATCCTGTAAACTTTTGGCTTGGGTATAGCTGCAGGCGACAGAAAGGTAAATTGAGTGTTGGATGACACCGTTGGGTTAAGCTTCGTGTTGGAGCATGTCATACGGTACGTGCAAGGCACTCTGTGCCAGCAAGGTAATGTAAAATAGGTATGGAGTTAACCTGGCTGCTAGTGCTTCTTGGTATTCTTCAGTACTCAATATGTTATGAGAGAAAGAGAGAGAGGGGTTTTTTAATGTGTTGATATCAGCCTGTTCAACAGAATTGCATTGCACTGTAAAAAAACTTGACATGTTCCTTTCCAAAGGTAGTTGTATTTCAGTGATGATAGAAGACATCCCTCATATTAATCCAGGAATCCTTTCAGATATTTAACATAAAGTTTGCTATATACTGAAATGTAATATTATCTACCAAGGGAATACCAGTCAGAATAAGTTAAATATATGGAAATGAATCAGAGTTTGAGGTGCAATTTCTGAACTGAATTAGCAGTTACAGCTTTCTGCTAATAATTTTTTTCTGCAAGAGTTGAGCAACTAAGTCTTGTTACGAGACAGCTAATTATCAAGCAGTGTCAGGCTCCTCTCTCATGCCTCAATTTAGCATGATATTTTCTGTCAAAAGTGCTATTTCATTTTCCTCCTGTTGGTTGAAATAGGCTTTAGATATGTAAGGTGTGTACTTCATACATACAACCTCAGAGAAGGACTTCATTTAATTTTATTCTGCACAAACCTCTTGCAGTTCAGTAAAAGCTAATAATTTGATTGTAAATGGTACATATCTGTATGTAAAATAGAAGTTCTTACGGATTGCCTTGATTCTAAAGCTACTTCACAGCAGAGAGATTTGAAGTAATTCATACAGCTAGCATTTATCACAAATGCATTCTTTTTTCATAGAGCTGCTTCCTAAATTTATATTAAAAAATAATTCCTTCTGAAATTATCCAGTTATCAAATAAATGGGCTACTATGTGTTTTTGTGCATACTTTGTACATATGTGTTTTCTAATTGCATCTGTATGTTCACTTGATGACTGACCACGGGTCTTTAAGTGATTATGGTGAGGAAAGAAAACTGTGTGTGTGTGTGTGTGTATTTAAGGTTATAATGCTGTGGATGATTTCTGTGGGTTGAGGTCTTAATACAATGCACAGGTGCCATTAGATGCAGGTTAGTTTAATAGTCATCAAAATGGACTGCAAAATATACATATTCTGATACACGTTTATGCTATATTTGCAAACTGTGTGAAGTCTCATAGTGACTTGTTGTCTTAATTCCACTGAAAAGTTATAAAATACTCAGAATTCAACAGTGACTTCATTCTCATGCTGAGGTGTTGGCTGCTTGAATGCAGCCTTTAATACTAAGTTTCTGACTTGGCAAAGTTACTTTAATTTCACTGTTCATAGAAATAAGTGGACGCTTGTCATGGAATATTAAAATGCAAAATATGATGTCTTTGTCTGAAAGTTTTGGTGTATAGTATGTGCTCTTGCCAGCTGTGTTATAGAGTGTTTTCACTAAAAAATCTGAACACAGACTCTAACATAATACTAAAAAGGTGTTTGTTATTTTATCCATTAGCTGTAAAAAAATTATAAAATTTATAAACTTTTAATTAAGGAAACAGAGTGCTAAAAATAAAGACATAAACAAGGAGGGTGAGATAAGACTGCTCAGCAATATACATGTAAGGAAAAATACATTTCTTGTGTAACATGGGTATCATCCCGTACCATCGTAGGAATGTAGCTGGGTATCTCAATATTCAAAGCAGAATATATGCAGCAACTCTTAAGTAGCACAGAGAGAATTATGCAAGTTTGTCTTATAATGCAAAATAATAGTTGTTTTGTTGATTGTAGATTTCTCAGAACCTATGAGTATAGTTTTCTGAAAAATGAATACTTACATCAGCTGGGAACTGGTGGCAAATTAAATTAACGTTCATTGAATTGTGAACCGTTGTTGCTCCTGAGAGGTGCTCTGTAAAACTGCTGAGCGTGATCCTGTGCTACTGAAACCAATGGTAGCTTTTCTCTTAGTTTAAATAGGTGTGGGGTTTGGCTTAGAGCCACTTGAGTTATACTAAGTGGGGCTGTGGCATGGTTAGAAATGTTTTGTTTAATCCCTTTTGGTGTTAAAGTAGGATTAAAAATAATAGAAATTCTCTGAAGAGTAAGATGAAGTCCTTGATGTGTTTATACGTTTGGTTTGAGGTGCTGGGTAAGATGAGTTTCATTTTTTTAAATGATTATTCAGGTAGGAATTCTAGCATGTGTGTATATATAGGGGGTTTGTCATAATTTTCATTCTTAGCTGTAAGGAGGCTAACAAAATTCACAAGTTAATTATACCTCAACCATTTTCTAATGTTAGATAGTTTACATTAACACCTAGGAGACAATATTATCACTGTACAAGCAGCCATAAATTTAGAGCAGTAATTATGCAATTTTTGTTCGTGGTTTTAACCAGAAAGTCTAAGAATAAAATGTCACATGTTCAGACTTACAAAATCCTTATTTCAGTAACTAAACAATTACAGCCCAATGTGATTCTCTTTAATCTCAAAAAATTTTGGAGTAGCTAAAATTGTTAGAGTCAGGAATTTGACTCAAAATATGCATGCTTATATAATCACCTGCTGCCTTTACATGCTCCTTAGGAAGTGTAATTCCAGAGCTTCACTTCTGGAGTTGTATTAGTAAGAATTGAAAATGTACACTAAATGTTTTGTTGTTGTTTTTAAGTCTTAAACTCATTAAGTTTTAGCTTTATCATTAACTTTTAACTTTTATTACTGGTGTATTTATAACTCTGGAGCAGAGTAAGTGTCTTTCCTCAAGCTTCATTTACATTTTGTAGCTGATTCTGGGATCTTCTTTGACTATTGTATCTATTTCCTTATTTTGCATGCATGTGGCAGCTTTCTGGATTTAAGATTCTGGAGTCTCATGAGGTGAAACCTTGTGCATTTGCAATATTCTTCAGCATGGCCTTTTTTCACAAAGCAGTAGAAATATTTTGACAGGTATTAAAGGGTGGAACTGTCTTCACCCTAAATACAGCAAGCGAAGTTTTCCAGTAATGTATGCATAAAATGACTTTGTATCCTCTTGAATGCAGCTTCCTTTTTATTTCTCTTTCCTGAGCAAATAGGTGTCATGAAACTGAACTTAAGGGTCACAGTCATGAAAATATGAATCTGCCTTGTCTGTCCTGTGTCAGACAATGCGACTGTTCTCAGTTTGGTGAAGAGAAAAGAATATTCAGGATTTTTTTGTCTTTTAAATCCCTGTATTTAGCACATAGGTGATTTGATTTCTTATTTGAAAGTAAAGATGAAATAAAAAGAACTTGCTTTTGCGAGTTGGTCATGTATAAAAATTACTGTTGTGGCTAAGAGCTGAAATAACTTGTTTTTCTGTCTGAGTAGCATTCTGGTACATGATAAAAAGGCATGGGTTTATTTTTCTGGCAAAGTTCTGAACCATAGACCTGTGATATTTTAGTATCTAGAAATGCAGACTAGTCACAACAATGACTTAAAGGTTGCGTGTGCTTGATTTCTGTTGTTCTTATCTGTCTTTCTCTGTAGAAGTTTTTTAGACACCCTGTTCATACCAACTCATCTGAGTTGTCAGTCGTATCTTGTTATGGACTAGTAAGGCAGAAAGATCTGATGTGAAATCATCACGGACTACAGGCTGAGAAATCTAGTTTATTGTGACACATGCATTCTTAGAACCCTTCTTGACTGTGTAGTTGAAAGTACACTTGGAAAAAAATTCTTGATGTGCTAAATACTGTGTTTTTTAACTTTCAGACAAAATCCGGACAGTACCTTTGAAGTGTATGCAGAAGTCACCTACTCAGGAATCAGTTGCGTTGGGAAAGGTACTGTTTTGTACTGAAGTTCTACCTATTTATTGGCTAAAACTATTCTTAAGAACCATGGACTTTGAGATAATGAGGTATATTTAATACTGTGCTGTTCTAGCTTTTAAAGATCCCTTAATCATTGGTTCTGTGGTATAGTTTACAGTTAGGACTAATAAGGAGATTCTTGTCTCCATCCCTGGTCGTGGGCAGTTTTCTTTGACTGTTTTGCCTTTTTGTTTGTCTTTTAAAATAGAAATAACTCTTGGTTCATTAAGTTGAAAAAGTAAATGTATTTCTTACTTGTATTTGCTGCCCATAAGAGGAATAGGTAGTTTTAAAACAAAAAGTACTCTAAAATTTCTTGTGTGGAATTTATATTTACTTCCTCTTTTCTTACTTGTCTACAGAAGTACTTTTATCTGTTCCCAGGATTCTTCCTTTGATCAACTGATTTTATCTAGAAATAAGGCATGAATGCAGCATATGAATTGGTTAACTACCTTTACCAAATGTTGTTATTAAGCCATAATTGTGCAAGTGTTTTTTTTTTAATATTATTTCTGACAAGTATTCCCATGTTTGTGCTAGAGAAGTTTCATAACTGCTGAAATCAACATGTAAATATACTTGTGAATTTTTGATGGCACTTTTTTTCTAAACCTGAGGAACTTGATCAAATAAGCAGGAAAACCAAAGGCTGAAACTTGTAATCCCAGAATTTAGTTCAAAATGCTGTTCTGTGAGATCAGGCTCTAGAACGTTATGAAAAGGAGTGGTGTCAAAATGAAATCATGATGATGAGTCAACATATACTGAAGTAGTATTTCTTTTATGAAGGTATCATGTGTATGTTGTATATTTGTATATCTATCCAGTAGAAAGGATTTTTGTATTTTCTGACTGGAAAGCCACTTATCTCCTTTTATATCTGTATTTGTTACAATCAGAAAAAGTCAAATAGCTGCTACTCTTTCCTTTACTGCCAAAGCCTCCATAGGAGTTGTAACTGGAACACAGTTTTGGCTTGTCCTACTGCTGTATGCCATGAAGACTATTTGATGTAACTGCAGGAGCCCTTTTAATAACTAGTCTTTGTTTCTGCACATCTGACCTGGATTCTAGTGCCAGAAAATCCGAACAAATTTGACCATAAACATTACATTGTACAGTACTAGTGTCTGGGTATAATCTTCTCTTTGAAGTTTGTTTGCATCCCCCTGGAGGGATTAATTCCCTGCTGTGGGAAGGTGGGTTAAAAAGCACGGAAACTACTTTACAGGTTTTTAATTGGAGAATTTAGTATACATTTTGTTCTATAAACCAACTGATTCTGTGGGAGTTTCACTTGGTTGTGATTTTAGGTTTGTTGTATGTACTTGTAGGTGCAAAATCTTAAGAAAATATTTTTAGTGAGTAAAAAAATGTTTTAATAATTGTTTTTATAATTTTTGCAACTCACATATTCTGAAGTTATTAATTCTCCCTGAATAATCATTTAAAAGATTTTTCCCAACCAATTTTTGTATATTTAAGAAGGATCCTTTATTCTCAGATTTCTGTATCCCCAAATATTCTGTCCTTTTCTAAATGAAGGCTGTGGTTTGGTTCTTCTCAGTGTCGGCTGTCTTTAACAGCCATTTGGTATCCTGGGCAAATGGCCATTCTAGAAATACAAACCTAGAGACCTACATGTGGTCTTCCCTACTTCTTGGTAGAAAACCAAGAATATATATCAACTTTGGCTTGTTTTTTGTTTTTGCAGTCAGTGAATGTATGTTGCATGGAAAGCAGCAGTTACTGTTAAGAAAAGCAAAATGTGTAAAAGGTATATAAGGAGAAAATCATCAAGCATGTTTAAAAATACCTATTTCTTCCTGTGTAATGGATCCCCAAATTAACCAAGACAAATGGTTTTGAAGTTCATGTCTAATATAATAGTGCTGTTATCACTTACAATGCTCTTAATTCTTGTATCAGTCTTCTGGCATGGTTTTGAGGAGAATGAATTGCTTCAAAGCTGTAGCAGCCCTAGTGTGGGAGATTGTGTGGCTTGTGGGATGGTAAAACATGTCTCTTGTTTTATTCAGAAGTTTGTGTAGCTGTGGTGGTTTGACCCCAGCCGGCAGCTGAGCACCACGCAGCCGCTTGCTCCTCCTTGCTGGGATGGGGGGAGAATCAGAAGAGTGAAAGTGTGAAAGTAGCAAAGGTTGCTTTCCATGTGTCTGTTAAATATCAACTGAAATTAACAGCTTTAGTATATTTCATAGTTCACTTCATCTTGCTGAAATGGGAGGTACTGACTTGTGTTATTTATTATTTATAATTGTATGTTCAAGTAGTTTTATTGCTCCTGTAGTTGTTAATAATCTTGGATTATATGTTTATTTGGTTAATAACTTTATAAATTAATGAAAGCAACATTATCCATTGACTACCATATAGAATCATAGAATTATTTAGGTTGGAAACATCCTATAAGATCATTGAGTCCAACTGTTAACCCAACACTGCCAAGTCCACTACTAAACCCTGTCCCTAAGTACCGCATTTACATGTCTTCTAAACACCTCCAGGGATGGTGACTCCACCGCTTCCCTGGGTAGCCTGTTCCAGTGCTTGGTGTAAAAGGCTCCCTTCTGCTTACCAAGATAGTGGACTGCAGGAGGTAAAAATCTCTTCTAGGCTTCAAGAAAGACTTCAGTGAACTGGAACAAGTTCAGTGGAGGGCCACCAAGATGGTGAGCAAGCTAGAGCACTTGCACTGTGAGGAGAGGGTCAGAGTGCTGGGCTTGTTCAGCCTGGAGAAGACTTCAGGGAACCTGAAGAGCAGCCTTCCATATCTATGAGGAACTCATCCAGATTAGATACGCAGGCTCTTCACAGTGGTTCATGGCAGGAGGACAAGAGGCAATAACATAGACTGAATGAAGAGGTGTTCGAACTGAGTATCAGGAATGTGTTCACCATGAGGACAGTCAAGAATTGGACCATGTCATTCAGAGAGTTTGTGCAATCTCCATCCTTGGCGGTTTTCAAGACTTAACTGGATCATAGCCTGAACAACCTGGTCTGACCTCATGCCTGGCCCTTTCTTGAGCAGGAGGTTGGACTAGAGATCTCCCAGAGGTTCCTTCCAGCATGAATTATGTGATGATCCTAAGATCTGATTCCTAGAAACAAAAGCTTCAGGAACATCTGGAGGATGTTTTGTACCCTTAGTAAGGTATGAAGAGAAAAACTTAAGTGAAACCAAAGAAGTTGGAAAAGCAAACGTTGTTTTATTCCAGTACAGACAGAACTCTGCCAAATCACAATGAAATGTGTGAACTGTGAAAGGAAATGATCCTTAGATCAGCCGAACTGTGGTCTCTCTGTCCTTTCCCCTCTAGATTGTTTAGAAATAATGATCATCTGTGCACAGCATTGGTGATCTGTGTATTTCTGGCACACAAAGTCTTTGGTACATTATACAATTCCAGCGTTCAGTTGTTTTTTTGGGTTTTTTTTTGGTTTTTTTTTTGGTTTTTTGGTTTTTTACTGGGTCACTTTACATAAATGTGTATCTTTATTTTGAGGACTGTGAAGCAAGATGCCTGCAACTGTGACCAGCAGCATTAAGATGAGCATTTGTTATTAAGAAGATACTTCCTGAAGGAAAAAGACCACTGCCAAACCAGTTTTTTACCTTATGATTGAGATTTCCATGGAAGCTGGGAATTCCCCTTAGCTAACTGAATCTAAGTTAGTGCATGTGGTTTGCTTGTTGGGGTTTTTCATTAAAAGAATGTTTGACTTCCTCAAATTGAATAAAAGTACAGAACTACTTTTATCTTCAGTTTGTTCCCACTCTTTTTTTCTTCTTTTGGGCTGTCTGGAATTCAGAATTTCATCACTTAGTGTTTCAGTGGTGCTTTCATTCATGTTCTAATTTTCAGTTTCATCAAATAGCACTGTTCTCTTGTCCATATCCTCTTCTAATAAGATCTTGATGTGTTCTCACCAAAAGTCTAGGGCAGCAAAACCGAATAGAAAGAATGGAGTCTGCATCTTTACAGTGACAGAACATGGAACTGTGGTGTGTGTGTCAAGTCTAAGTTTGTCAAGCATAGGAACTTTGCAAGTCCAGTGTTTCTCACCAACTCCCACATCCTTACTTTGAGGAAGAGAGGAAAAAGTAGTCATGGTTTTATTTTTAAAATGGGATATTATTGTAGACTAAAACTCAGAGTGTTCTCTGATTCTTTCAGGTAAGTGCTGGGTAATGACTGTGACTCAGAGGAAAAGGTGCAGTTCCAAGGCTAATACGGAAACCTGTCTTATTAGGCTGATTTAGGCTGAATGGTTTTAACAGGTGCCTTTTGTGCAGTCATGTAGCTGGATGGAGTAAGATGCTAAAGCTGTACAGATGGGCACAACTTAACTCTTCAAGAATGACTGTTTCGACTTTAGCTTTCAACCACTCCAGGTGAATATAGAGATTGTTAGGACTTTAAAGAAAAATTGATTACTAAGACAAATTCCAATTCACATATAGGGCTTTAATAGTCTATAGCCTGTGTGGTGTGTTTTGTCTTTGCCTTAATGCATTTTAGTGCTGTGTAGTTCTCGCAGTAGAAGTTTTAGCTTTCCTTGTCACTTAGATGCAAGGAGGTCATCTGCCTTGGTAAATCCAGGTGTATTGCTTTTATAAAACCACAGCCAAACAAAAAACTTTAGAGATTTTAGAGGTTTCACTGATATGAGTTAACCTTCAGGAATTTGATAAAATAGAGCCTCAAAAATCATAGATAGAGGGGAATAATAATATAGTTTATTGCCTAGCAGATAGCAGTAATATATTCTGGACATAATCTATTATTGTGTTAGTTTTGCCTTTCTGCCATGATAGTTAAGTAACTTCATGTAAAGGAAGGGAAAATGCATTTTATGAGATTGTCCTTCTAATGGAGGACTTGGGTATTTCTCATGGCATCTCACAGTAGTAAAACTTCACAGAAATTGAGGTAGTGAATTAC